AAAAAAAAAATCTTTATTGAACTTCTTGACACTGCCTTAAATTTGGCTTCGGGAGCCAATGCCTTCCAGCTTCGTTGAGACCCTCCCTAGGGGTTGAGGGCGGGGCTTACTCTGGGGAAGGGGTCCTGAAGTCACAGGTCTTCCAGCCTCTCCTCTTTCCCCCTCAGGTTCTCTCCTCATTTTGCTGCGGAATTGGAGAGCATTTACTACTCGGTGAGCCAGACCCAGGCAGCCCCGACCAAGGAGGGCCCCACTGGGACAAGCCAAAGCAGTGGTTTCACAGCCCTGCCTCCTGAGTGCCCCAGAGAGGCTGTTTTCAGCCAGGCACTGTGCCTCACGCCTGTAATCCCAGCACTTTGGGAGGCCAAGGCGTGTGGATCACCTGAGGTCAAGAGTTCGAGACCAGCCTGGCCAACATGGTAGAGCCCCTGTCTGTACTAAAAATACAAAAATTAGCCGGGCATGGTGGTGGGTGCCTGTAATACCGGCTACTCGGGAAGATGAGGCAGGAGAATCGTTTGAGCCCGGGAGGCAGAGGTTGCAGTGAACTGAGATCACATTGTACTCCAGCCCAGGCGACAGAGCAAGATTCCCTCTCAGAAAAAAAAGTAGGGACCATACATCAGCGTAGTATGAAAGTAAAAGAGAAAACAAGGTGAAAACAAAAATTTTTTTATGGTGGGGGCAGGGGGTGGAGTAGGGACCAGAGAGGTAGAGCAACTTGCCCAGGGTCACACAGCATTCACACCCAGACCACCTCCTGATGGGATCCCTGTTTTCCCTTTGCAGCTGCACAAGATCCAGCAGGATGTGGCAGAACATCACAAGCAGGTGGGTGACCAGGAGCTCAGGGGTGCGGCTGTCCCTCCGTGAAAGGCATGAGAAAGGACAGAGGTGGGGCCAGGCACAGTGGTTCATGCCTGTCATCCCAGCACTTTGGGAGGCTGAGGAGGGCAGATCACTTGAGGTCAGGAGTTTGAGACCAGCCTGGCCAACATGGTGAAACCCCATCTCTACTAAAAATACAAAAATTAGCCGGGCGTGGTGGCGGACACCTCTAGTCCCAGACACTTGGGAGGCTGAGGCAGGAGAATAGCTTGAACCCGGAAGGTGGCGATTGCAGTGAGGCGAGATTGTGGCACTGCACTCCAGCCTGGGTGACTGAGCGAGACTCTGTCTCAAAAAAAAAGGGGACGATGGTGAAGACAGGGAGGGGACAGGGGCAGGTCATGCAGAGCCTTGTGAGCCATGGGAAGGACTTGGGCTCTGACCCCAAGGGAGGTGGGAGCCACAGGGGACTGCTGGCAGAGGAGGGACATACCCTGACTTGGAATCCCCCATGATATTAGCGGAGGCCCCGTATCTTGGGGGAGCATCTCCAGTCCTGTCTGAGCTGTTTCCAAGAGAGGGTCAGTCCTGCTCCTTCGGCTCCCTGGGCCCCTGCACGACCTAGATGCCGGTCAGTTGCTTTGGATAGAGAGAGCCTGTGATGGGGCAGGCACCCGCTGTGTTCCTCTGCGTGTCTGAGTGTTCAATGAGAGGCCGTAGCACATGGGAGCGAGGGGAGCTCTGCATGGGGAGGGGGGGTGCCCAGGCTCCCACCTGCCAACCCAGGGTGCCTGGCCCAAGCTGAAGTACGCCTTCCAGCCCTGCCCGTCCTCCCGCCACCTGGCCTTTTCTCCCAGGCACTGGCAGGATTTTCCGCCTGTGCCAGATGTAACTGGCAGGGGCCCAGGGCCGTGTCTGCAACTTAGCAGGGCCTGGGAGGAGAGGGGGGCAGCGGAGGGAACAGGGTGAGGGGGGCCAGGAAGCAACCAAAACATGGTTATTCATTCAACAGATATTTATCCGTCACCTCCTTGCCAAATACTATTGTAGAAGCCAGCAAAATAGCAAAGAACAACGCAGAGCTTTCCACCCTTGGGGCGAGTGGAGCCTGGTAGATGGAGTGTTAGAGGGTGAGGACTGGGCAAGGTGGGGGGTGGAAGAGAGCAGCCCCCAGGGGACTGGGGAGGCCAGGGTGGGTGAGGGTTGCAATTCAGGGTGGTTGGGGAAGGCATGCGAGAAGGTGACATCTGAGCGGACGCTTAAAGGACATCAAAGAGGAAGTGTGGCTGTCTGGGATGGAAGGGATATCTCAGGCAGAGGGCACAGCCTGTGCAAAGGCCCTGAGGCAGGACGGCGCCTGTCGTGTTGGTGCTGAAGGCACTGCGAGGGGACCCGAGTGGCTGGAGCAGAGAGAAGGAGGAGGGGAGGGCAGGCCACACGGTGCCCTGTGAGCTTCAGGGAGGACTTGGACTTGAACCCTAAGGGAGGGAGGTGGGAACCATGGAGGGCTACAGACAGAGGACAGGCGCTGGCTACTGTGGAGAGGACAGAAGGGGAGGGATGAGGACAGAAGCCCGGGAACCAGTTAGGACAGTCCAGGTGTGGAATGCTGGTTGCTTAGTGATGAGAAATAATTGAATAATTGCGGACGCGTTTTGGGAGGAACCTGACCACAACTGCCGAGCGTCGGGATACGCAGGGGATGAGGGCCCCAAAGGAGCCACTTAGGATGGAGCCAGACCCAGGAGGGTCCTTGCCTAGCCCCCACTGCAGGAGGCCCCAGGATCCCTGGCAGCCCGGTCTGGCATGTGGTCCGGGGCAGCCCGCTTCCCCCACCCCCTGCTTCCAGTTCCGGGCTTTCCCAGCCTCCTTGCTGTGCTTTTAAAATCCCCATCAGCGCACAGCCCCCTCCTCCGCCAGCCCGCCTGCCACTCTCCCCCGGGAGGACCTGCTAGCAGGCAGAAGGGAGCCACACTTTTCATGCTGAGTGCATTAAAGTGCCGGTAAATTGCACATTAACGAGGCGGGGTGAATTGGAGAGGGCTCCCCTGGGCTTTGCTGCTGCTGGGCGGGCTCAGCTGGGAAATCCATCACTGGCTGCCCCAGCAGACAGCAGCCTGGAGCGCCCCGCAGGGCTCTGATGGAGGATCTCCCCTCCCCGCCCCTCCCTCCGCCTTCCTACTAAGGAAACAGACAGGTAGCCTGTTTGTAGAAAAAACTTATGGGATCACTCACCTTGCTTTCTTTTTTTGTGGTTGTTTTGACGGATCAGGCTCTGTCTCCCAGGCTGGAGTGCAGTGGCAGGATCTCAGCTCACTGCAACCTCTGCCTCCTGGGTTCTACCCATTCTCCTGCCTCAGCCTCCCTAGTAGCTGGGATTACAGACATGGGCCACCACATCTGGTTAACTTTTATATTTTTAGTAGAGACAGGGTTTTTCCATGTTGGCCAGGCTGGTCTCGAACTCCTGACCTCAGGTGATCCACCCGCCTCAGTCTCTCAAAGTGCTGGAATTACAGGTGTGAGCCATTGCACCTGGTCAGTTTCTTTATACTTTGAACATGGCTACTAGACATTTCATATGCATGACTATATTAATATATGATTCCAATTATACGTGTACTGGATGGTGTTGATCTAGATTTTATTGTTTACTGGGAAACTACATTTAAATTTGAGATTGGCAGTGGTCAGATGACTTGATTATTGTTGTTTGTTCGTTTTAAATAAAAAATACCAGACTGGGTGCGGTGGCTCACACCTGTAATCCAAGCACTTTGGGAGGCTGAGGTGGGCGGATCACCTGAGGTCAGGAGTTTGAGACCAGCCTGGTCAACATGGAGAAACCTCGTCTCTACTAAAAATATAAAATTAGCTGGGCATGGTGGCGGGTGCCTGCAATCCCAGCTACATGTGAGGCTGAGGCAGGAGAATTGCTTTAACCCAGGAGGCAGAGGTTACAGTGAGCAGAGATCGCACCTCTGCACTCCAGCCTGGGCGACAGAGCAAGACTGTCTCAAAAGAGAAAAAAAAATTACCTGCTTCTATCAATTCTCCCCAGCAGGTAACCCTCAGTTTCTTAGTATCTTTCCAAAGTTTAAGCAAATGCTGTTTTGCTGCCTGAAGCCTTTTTTTTGTTTTTTTTTGAGACAAAGTCGCTCTGTTGCCCAGGCTGGAGTGCAGTGGCGCGATCTCAGCTCACTGCAAGCTTCATCTCCCGGGTTCACGCCATTCTCCTGCCTCAGCCTCCCGAGTAGCTGGGACTACAGGTGTCCACCACCAAGCCTGGCTAAATTTTTTTTTTGTATTTTTTAGTAGAGACGGGGTTTCACCCACTGTGCCTGGCCTGCTTGAAGCTATTTTAAGCAAAGGGTGGTGGTGGGCAGGTTTTCTTTTTAAAACATCCCAAAAAGGGATTACAGGTGTGGTGGCTTACACCTGTAATCCCAGCACTTTGGGAGACCAAGGCAGGAGAATCATCTGAGCTCAGGAGTTCAAGACCAGCCTAGCCAACATGGTGAAACCCTGGCTCTACTTAAAAATACAAAAATCAGCCGGGCACGGTGGCTCACACCTGTAAACCCAGCACTTCGGGAGGCTGAGGCAGGCAGATCATGAGGTCAGGAGATTGAGAATATCCTGGCTAACACGGTGAAACCCCGTCTCTACTGAAAATACAAAAAAAAATTAGCCAGGCGTGGTAGCGGGCGCCCGTAGTCCAGCTACTCGGGAGGCTGAGGCAGGAGAATGGCATGAACCTAGGAGGTGGAGCTTGCAGTGAGCCGAGATCACACTGCTGCACTCCAGTCTGGGTGACAGAGCAAGACTCCATCTCAAAAAA